CACGGGAGCCTCCGAAACTGCTCGCCCGCCCCCTCGCCGTCGCTCGGACGTCCATTTCCCGTGCATTTTTCGGTTTCGTGCGTGTTTTTTCGCCCGATGGTCCAGCATCGTCATCGATGGTTCTCGCCGAGAAAAAATGCACACGTCCGAGCGATGCCGGGCCCCCCAGGGAGAGAAGAGGAGGCCCGAGGACGGCCCGCCACACGGGCACAATCTCGTGGCCCTCGCCGAGCCACGGGCTCCCCCCGGGGGCAGGACCGGTCAGCATCAGATCGATGGAATCGGACGGGATCAAGACGAGCCTCGAAGCTCTGAAGGGGCCCACAGACACACAAATGAATACACGCAAATAAAGAAGATTCCCCATAGTTTCCCATATGTTCTGGGTTTTTGTCTTCCCCCCCACTTCCCATATTTTCGCATATTTTCCTTGGGATCGACGATGAATTGTGTCTGTGTGTTTTTCCCCTCCTGAATCTTGGCGGCGCGTATGAGGGAGGGCTTCTGAGAAAGAGGCCTTAACATCTGTAGATAAAGCGCCAGCCTTACGTCTGCAGGTAAGGCCTGCGCCTTCTAAGAAGCAGGGGTGCTTTTGAGAAGCCCTCCCCCCTCCCCCCACCGTCCTCTGCGCGTGGCTGGGAATCGGGACGTAGCGGCACGGAGGCGGAATCGAAGGCAGTCGGCTGCGCCAGAATGCACCACAGCCCTGGGCAAGCATCCGCAGAATCGGATCGTCGGAAGATCGGAATCGGATCGGACCGAGTCGGCCAAAAACGATACCAACTCAGACCGATCGGAATTGCATGGGCCCTAGGGGACGTCGCTGTCGTCGTTGAACGGCGGCGGCGGAGGCTTCGGCGGTGGCCTGGCGTCGTCGTCGTCTCCCCTCGTCGACGTTTGGGGTTCTGTCTAAGGCGATCCTTGCTGGCCCGAGGGCTTTCGACAGGGCGCAGCTGCTGGAGAGTACCTGGGTCCCCAAAATATCCGAACCCCGTGGAAACCTTGTGAATCATTCGTCACTGTCGTACAGTGTTTCATCCCGACTCGATTCTTGACGGGCCGAATAGCCCGAAACAAGTCTAAGTCAATAACGATGAAAACCATCTGAGAAGCTCAACCCTCGATCGTCGATCGTAGATCCTCGAGGAGGCGTCGGGGGCATCGGCGTCGTTGGCGGCGGCGTCGGCGTCGGCATCGGCGGCGGAGTCAACGTCGGCGTCGGCGGCCCTGGCATCGACGTCAGCGGCACCGGCGGCGAAGCCGGCGCCGTCGGCGACTGCAACGGCGGCGGCGACAGCGCCGTGTCGACGGCGGCGTCGGCGACGGCGTCGCCGTCGTCGTCGGCGGCGACGGCGGCGCCGCCGCCACTGCCAGCGGCGACATCGTCGGCGGCGTCGACGTCGGCGTCAACGGCGCCGGCATCGAGGGGAGGAGGAGGAGCGGGAGGAGGAGGGGAGGAGGAGGGGGAGGAGGAGGGGGAGGAGGAGGAGAGGGAGGGGGAGGGGAGGAGGAGGAGGAGGAGGAGGAGGAGGAGAGGAGGAGGAGGAGGAGGAGGAGAGGAGGAGGAGGAGGAGGAGGGCCAGCTGCGTCGGCGTCGGCGTCGGCCGGCTGCGTCGGCGTCGGCGTCGGCGGGCGGCGGCGGCGGCGGCGGCGCCGGCGGCGGTCGCCTCTGCGCGCGGGCGGCGGCGGCTGCGGGGAGTGGCCGGCGGGCTGCTGCTGCGGCACCGCCCAGTGCCAGCGCGCGGGCGGGGCCCTGCGGGCCGCCACCGTCGTCGCCGTCGTCGTCGTCGTCGTCGTCGTCGCCGCCGTCGTCGTCGTCGTCGTCGTCGCCGCCGTCGTCTTCGCCGCCGTCGTCGTCGTCCTTATATATATATATATATATACTTTCTGAAACCTTCCTAAAACCTTCCCCCGGAAGTTTTTTTGCGAGGTTTTCGGCAGGTGTTTGGGATAACCTTCCTGAAACCTTCCTGAACCTTCCTCGGGGAAGTTTTTCTTGTGTTTTTGAAATTTGCAAAAACCTTCCTGGAAGCCCCCTAAAACCTCCTTCGGGGAGGTTTCCGGGAGGCTTTGGGAGGTTGTTGGGGAAAACAATCCTGGGACCTTCTTAACCTATTCCTCAGGAAGGTGTTTGGAAGGTTGTCGTGAAAGGTTTTTGGGGAAAACCTCCCTGGGACCTTCCGAAAATCTTCGTCGTCGTTCGTCGTTCGAGGATCGAGCTTCGCGGGCAAGCCCGTTCTGAACCTCCCGGGGGGGCTTCTCGCCGCCCCGGCTGTGGCTCCCCCTCGAGGTTGGAGCGCACCCCCCGGAGAAGACCGGCGAACGAGTTCCGAGGAGGAGGGGGGAGGAAGAGGAGGAGGAGGGAAGAGGAGGAAGAGGAGAGAGGAAGAGGAGACAGGAAGAGGAGGAGGGGGGGAGGGACTAAGGGAGGGAGTCGGCGGCGGCGTGCGTCTGCAGCGGCGTGCATCTGCGGCGGCGTCGGCGGCGGCGTGGACGGCGGCGGCGGCGCGTGCTGGATGGCGACCGACCGTTCCAGTATTCCTGTAGCGCTACAGCGGAATTCCCACAAACCGCATACCTAGGAAAGTCAGACCGCTGTCTTGAAACAAGACTGCCTCAGCCATGATGTCCGGAAGACACGCCACTCAAACCACACAGAACTCTGCCCTTGGACAGTTCCCGGTGGGCCTACAGGCAGACCAGGGCGCTCCGTCACTCAGCACCGTTAGGCTCCTCCCCATCCCCAGTTGCCCATGGCTCATCAGCGCCGCCAGCCTCCCACCACTTCGTGGAGACAGGTGCCACGGCGCCCAACAAAGACGGCACCTGACCCAGACATCCTCCGACATCCATCCGCACCCCCAAAGCTTTTCTGTCTTTCGCGGAGCCTAAGGCCTAAGCCATGCTACTGACGGCAGAGTGCTGACTCTACTATGAACCGCGAACTCTGCTTCCTCTAAGGCCAGGGCCTCAGCCGTGAATGAAGAGATCGGATCTTGGATATAAGTCCCAGCCAGTATCACCGGCACCGACGTGATGTAGGATCTGTAATGCGTCACGGCCTCGATGCACCAGGCCGCAGCGGAGCACTTGCCGGCCCGTGTGCACCATCCATATGCACCCCCAGAGCTCCGGGCTTCTTCCCTCCTCCCTCTGGGCGGCCTGGCGCCCTGGACTCGCGCCAGCTGGCCCCGCGGCCCGGCAGCGAGCCCCAGAGGCCGAAATCTGCGAAACGAGGCTAGGATTCTGCAGCATCGAATCGTCGGAGGTCTGGGGATGGCTCGGGAGGGATCGCCGACCTGGAAGCGGCGATACGTCGCCGACAGATCGGCGAGTGGCCCCCGATAGCAGAATCGGACGCTCCTGGGCGGGGTGGGCCTACAAGCCCTTGTCGTCGATGAGTGGGCGATTTAGGGTCGATGCATCCCCCCCCTGTGTGGTCCTCGTCGTCTGGTCCTTGGGCCAGAGCTCGGGCGTCCGTCGGGACGGTCCGGGCACCCCAAGAACGCCCTCGGCGAGGCGCAGCCGCTGGAACTCATCCCGAGGCTGAAAAAATGCCAGGAGCAGCAGAAAAACTCAAGCCTGGAGTCGATGCAAAGACCGATCCGGAGGGAGGGAGGGAGGGAGGGAGGAGGAGGAGGACAAGGACGAGGACGAGGACGAGGACGAGGACGAGGAGGAGGAGGAGGAGGAGAGGGAGGGAGGGAGGGAGGGAGGGGAGGGAGGGAGGGAGGGAGGGAGGGAGGAAGAGAGGGAGAGAGAGAGAGGAGGAGGAGGAGGAGGAGGAGGAGGAGGAGGAGGAGGAGGAGGAGGAGGAGGAGGCGTGGACCTCCCCTGGGGCGCGTTCTGCCCCAGCTCTCGAGGCGGATCCAGCCGCGTGGCCACGAGGGCGCCCCAGGAGCACCAGAGAGCTCAAACCTTCCAAAAACCTGCCCCCCTGTCGTTGCCCATGGTGATTTGCAGTAGAAGTGCCCCTTACCCTTTAGGAAGGGGACCCAAACAGGGAGGGCCAAAAACATTAGGGATAGGGGGTCGATTGAGCAGACGCATCCAACCAGACCGCCCAAAACCATGATCCCCAAATGCAGAAAGTCTGGGATCTCAGTGAGGCCACGCCGTCATCGTGTTATTAGGGTTGGGAGCTTTTTTGTTCTCGCTGACCTGGGGATGGGGATGGGGTCGAGCAGGAGATAAACTACAGAATTTATGTACCCCGACATGGGCTTCCGCGTCGAATTTACGAGAAGAATACTCAGAATATTCGCAGATCTACGATCACTCATTCTGCATCATTTTAATCGACTCGGCGAGAATTCCAATTCCGGGGCAAATCGATTCTGTAGTCGATCTCCTACTCGACTGACGAAGGGGGGGGTCATCTGCCGATGCCACAGCCTGTGGTCGGGCATGTCCTCCTACAGGCGGACTTGGGAGGAAAGATAAAACGTAGTCCAAACATGTTCAAAACGATAAAATATAGTTTTCATATGAAACATGATGATTTGATATTAGGACTGTTTTACTATTTTGACTCTTTCTTACATGATTCAATTGTCGCACACAGCATATGTTTTTCCCTACCTAGGCTCTGCCTAGAGGATTATTACTCTCTTTCTTAAAGGGGCCGGGCAGTGCACACCGCCCCGGGCGGTTCCCCCAGTATCCGCCCCGCGGTTCCCCCAGTTACGTCCCCTTAGCTTAGCGTTGCTTATATCATCTTAGCTTAGCTTAGTTCATCTTTGCTTAGCTTAGCTTCATCTCAGCTCAGGTCTATCTTAGCTTAGTTTACCTTAATCTTAGCTTCGCTGAGCTGTAGCATAGCAGAGCACAGCATAGCATAGCGTAGCATGGCATAGCGCAGCACAGCATATCATAGCATAGCCCAGCATAGCATAGCATAGCGCAGCATAGCATAGCATAGCATAGCATAGCATAGCATAGCGCAGCACAGCACAGCATAGCATAGCATAGCGCAGCATAGCATGGCATGGCATGGCATGGCATAGCATAGCAACTAATGCTGCTTTCCTAGGGGCTCCAACTTCTAGGTAGGGTCGCACTGGGGCTTGATTATAGTATGATTGTTTGCCTATTCTTGAACGCGCCCGTTCCGAAGCCCCCGCCGCTGCCCAGCGGGGCGGCGGCGGCCGGAGGGCGGCGGCCGGAGGGCGGTGGGCGCCGCGGCGGGGGCGGCTGCGAGGCGACGCGCAGGGGCAGCCCCGGCAGCGGCGCCTCCTGGCGCGCGGCGCGGGCGCACACGCAGAAGTGCAGTCGGGGCGTTGACCTCTAAGGAACCCTGAATCAGGAACGAGGCCCCATCTTCCCAGCAGTTAAAGTTCGATTTCCCATCGAAAACCTAAGGAAGACCTGAGGCAAGCTGTGAAACAATCAAGGAACACGGAGCCCCTCCCCAACGAAAAGGGTTCCTTCTTCGGCGCCCCGACTGTGCACACAGATCCCAGGGTTCCCCGCATTGTGCCGTCAGGGGCCGACCACAACGATGCGTGAAACGAAGCGGCGCTTCCAGCGAAAAAGGAAACGAGGCCCAACGTTTGTAAGGCGAGCGTTGAAAACGAAGCCGGTGCCAAGCGAAAACGGACGACGAAGCGGGGCGTTTGAAGCAACAGCGAGCAACGAAACGACACAGCAACAAAAAGCGAAACGTACAACAAAACAAGAGCCCAAACCAAGCTACACGGCGTTGTGGTCGGTCCTTGTTTTCCATGTTTTCTGGATTGTCGTCTTCCCCCCCGCGTCCCATTCTGCCCCCTCTTTTCCTGAGAGTCGACGATGAATTGTTGGAGGGGCCCTTGGACACACAAATAAATACACACAAATAGAAACATTCCCCATATTTTCCCATCTTTTCTGGGTTTTTGTCTCTTCCCCCCCCCCCCCCACTTCCCATATTTTCCTTTATTTTCTGGGGAGTCAACGATGAATTGTGTCTGTGTTTATTCATAATATTTTTTATATTTTATCGGTTTTTGTCTCCCCCCCCCACTTCACATATTTTCCCATATTTTCTGGGGGATCGACGATTAATTGTGTCTGTGTTTTTTCCCTCCTGAATTGTGTCTGTGTGCGTGTGCGTGCTGTTCCCCTCCTGGTCCCAGCGCGCGGCGCGGGGGCACCGGGCGAGGCCCGGCCAAGACGTCGGCGGCCACTCGCGGGAGCTGGCGGTGCGCACCGAGGGTTAAGTCGGGCCTGACCCCCTACAGGGGGATTTTCGACGAAAAACAAAAAAAAACCAAAATACAAAGAAAATACCCCCAAAGGGTCAAAACATATTCCAAAAATAGTCCCCATACTATTTTTGGACAATGTTTTACTACTTTCGGGGTATTTTTTATGTCTCGTCGAAAATCCCCCTGTAGGGGGACACGCCCGACTCAACTCAAGGGGGTGGAGGGAGGGGGGAGGGCTTCTTAGAGAGAGGCTGCTCCTTAGAAGGCGCCGGCCTCACATCTGCAGATAGGGCCCGCGCCTTCCAAGAAGCAGCGAATGCTTCTGAGAAGCCCTCTAAAACAGGGCTAGGATCTGGATAAATCGCTCCAAAGCTTTCCGGAGCGCTCTCAGAGCGTTCCGGAACGCTCTGGAGCGGCCGCGGCGCCCAATACATCCTCCAAACCCGCCGATTCTCAGAGATTTCGAGTTATCCCGATCCGATTTTGTCCCGATCTTCGCGTCGTTTTACCCTCCCCCCTCCCCCCCAACCCCCCTCTGCGGGCAGCTCGTGGGAGTCTCCCGTGCCATCTCGTCGGCTCTCGCGAGTCGACGCCCAGTCGGCGCTGCATCGGCGCTTAGTCGACACAGAAACCGACGCTACATCGGCGCGATATCGTCGACTCCCAGACGCCACGCGACACGAATGGACGCAGGAGATGGAATTAAGAGGGTATACCAGGACAAGACGGGCCCAGGCCTCCAGAGGCTCGAAGATGTTTGGAGGGGAACGGCACGAAGCGATTTTGGCTCGGGTTCGAGGCTAGAGCTTTTCGGACGTTGTCGTCGCATCTCGGCGGTTTCCATCATCAAGATGCCTTTCAGCGGCTGCGCATCAGAGGGCGTTCGGGGGGTGCCCAGATCTTCCCGAAAGGCCGCTGGGGAGCCCGCCTATGACCCGAAAGCCAGCGGCCGGCGACGCGCGACGCGCGGCTGCCTCGGCGCCAGTCGCGGGGCCAGGACGGACCCGAGCCTCCAGAGACTCGGAAAGATCTGGGCCACCGAGCTTCGCTCAAATAAAGAGACCCAAGGACACACAAATAAATACACACAAATAAAAAGATGCCCCATCTTTTCCCATATTTTCGGGGTTGTTTTGTCTTCCCGCCCAATGCCCATATCTTCCCATATCTTCTGGCGAGTCGACGATTCCTTGTGTCTGTGCGTTCCTTTTCCTCCTGATTAACAGGAAGAGCACAGCACAGACAGGAGCTCACTGTCCAGGGCTCCCCGCGGATCTGTTCTTTTGCATCTCGGCCCTCGGGCACCCCCTTGGAAGCGCCTCCCGGCAGGCGCCGCGGGCGCGCGCCGCGCGTACCCTCCGAGAGTGCGAAAAATGTCAGCTCGCGCCGCTCCTCCCTGTGTGAAAGACCGACCCAGAACTCTGGCCATCGCTCGGACGTCCATTTCCTGTGTTTTTTCCGTTTCGTGCGTGGTTTTTTCGCGAAATGGTCAAGGATGCTCCTCGATGGTCCTCGCCGAAGAAAAAACGCACACGTCCGAGCGATGCCAGGAACTCCGAAGACTCACCCGTCTTGTAGTAGATCGTCTCCCGAGCGGTGTGGCCAGAAGGCGCCCGCCACGACGCACACACATATATATATATATATATATATATATATATATATATATATACATGTATATATACACATATATATGTATACACCACAAGACTTCTCGGTGCGCGAGTCGCCCCAAGGGGGGGGACCACGCACGGTACCAGTGCATGTTGGCGCGACGCCGGACCTGCCAGACCACCCTGACCCGACCCGAAGACCCACATTTCGGGCTTGGGGGGGGACGGGCCCCACATATGTTTTTTCACTGGTCCCCGACGCCCCCCCCCTCACTGGGATTGGGGGGCAGATGGGGGCCTTTGGGTTGGGCCGGGGTGGCGTAGCGGGTGGTGAAAAAGATCGGGGTCATCCAACCCCGCGCGCATCGCGCCCAGCGATGCGCCGCATCATCGTCGGCGATGTCGGCGATGCATCAGCGACGTCGGCGTAGCGAAACTCGGGCCCAACCTCTTGCCGTGTCGGCGATGCATCAACGATGCGGCGCGATCCTCCGACCCCATCTACCTACTCGGACCCCATCTGGGAGGCCTGGGAACTCCACAGGCCTCTCCCCGGGTGCGTTCTGGCCAGAATTCCGGAGCGAATCCCACCGTGGCGACGACGGCCCGCCAGGAGGCTTACAGGGGCAAAGGGCAAAGACGAGTCAGGAGTGGCAGTATCGGCACAACCGCGCGGAATCCGCGCGGAGGTGCCCCAGCGCGGATCCAGGAAATGCGCGCGGAGCGATACAGGTTTGTGTACATGCCGTTTATGAAGAGGCCCAGGGACACACAAATAAATACACACAAATAAAAAGATTCCCCATATTTTCCGATATTTTCTGGGTTTCTGTCTTCCCCACCACTTCCCATATTTTGCCATCTGTTCTTGGGAATCGACGATGAATTGTTTCTGTGTGTTTTTTCCCCTCCTGACTTTTTCCCCTTCGATGAAACCAGGCGCACTCGCCGCCCGACGACCCCGACGACGCCTGCGCCGGCGGCGGCGGCGGCCCAGAGAGCCGCGCCTGGTGCGGCAGCGGCCACTGCGCGGGGAGGCGGCCGGCCGCGACGGGCCACTGCTGCGGCCCCGCGGGCAGCGGCGTCGCCTGGCCTGCGGGCCGCGGGCGGCGTCGCCGTCGGCGCTGGCGGCGGCGCTGGCGCTGGCGGCGGCCCAGACCTCCGACGGCGCCGGCGGCGACGACCGCGGCCGAAACCACCACGACGACGACGACGACGGCGACGACCACGACCACGACGACGACGACGACGACGACGACGACGACGACGACGACGACGACGACGGCGACGACGGCGGCGGCGGCGGCGGCGACCCTGAGCGCAGACGCCGCTCCTGGCCAGGCCGCGGCCGGCTGCCGCCCGGCGCCGAGGAGCCACGGGTCCGCCGCCCACTGCATGGGGCCCCCCCGGAGGGAGGCGCCGCCGCGGCGCGGCGCTGCGCGGGGCGGTCGCGGGGGCCGCGGCGCCGGGCGCTGCTGCCGAAGGTGCCGCCGCGGCGTCGGCGCGGGCGCTGGCGCGGGAGTGGAGAAGCAAGCAGAGCCGGGCCCAGGCCAGAAGAGCACGCCTCGAGAGCCTGAGACCCTCCGTCGGCCAGAGCATGGCCTCCTCCCCAGGGCGCACAGAAACGTCCAGCAAGCACGAAGAACACCAGAGCACCCTCCCCGAAGCGACCTCGACCTCATACCTCGGTCCGACCGTAGCCGGGGTGTACCCACCGGGTGTTCTGTCCACGTGAAAAATTAGTCGTGCTTTCTATGCGAACCGGATGCTCGGTGTTCATCCGCCACCGTGCCGCTGGTCACGGAGTGGGCGTGTCCTCAGGTCATTTGCCCAATCCACTGGGCAGTCCTCACTCCTGAGGAGTCTTCAAGGGCGTGTCCCTCTACAGGGGCATCTTCGACGAAAAATTAAAAATACTCCAAGAATAACAAAAAATGTCAAAAATACTCACAAAATAATCCCCTGGCTATTTTTCTACTATTTTTGAATATTCCCCCTGTAGAGGGACGGGCCCGAGTTAATTCAAGGGGCCCGGAACCCACATAGCGAGATCGTTCGTGGCTTCTCGCGTCTGGTCGGGGGCTCACGCGCGTGTATATTTCGGGCCCAAGAGGGCCTGAGGACGGGCAAAGAGCGCCCCACGAGGCCCCCAAGACGGTCCCAGTGGGCCCCGAGTCGCCGAAAGATCGCTCCAAGACGCCCAAGATGGCCTCAAGATGGCCCAAGCGGCCTACGAGACACCCCACGAGGCCTCCAGGAGGCCTCTCAAGAGAGCCCCAAGAGGCAAACGTCATTGATGGTCCTTTGGTCTTTGAGCGATGTTGGCGTTACCAGCTGCTGCCGCCGCGGGGCTCCATGCACGGGCTCACGCTCACTCTTCCCCCGACGCGCCGGTGTGAAGTGTGGCCAGCGGTCGACGGGTTGGGACGAGAGTGACCACCTACTTGACAACCCCAACCTAACCCGAAGATCCTTCGGGTTGGGGGGGTACGGGTTCCATGCGTGTTTTCGTTGTTCCCCGACCCCCCCCACACTGGGAATGGAGGGCAAATTGAGGCCTTCGGATTGGGTTGGGGTGGTTTGGTGGGTGGTGAGAGCGGGGGGGGGCAGAGCCATCGGAAAGAGTCACTTCCCTGCGGAGGCCTCTGACATACAACCAAGGCGCGGTGGGGGGATGGACCGAAGACCACTGGATCACTCGGATGGGCTGCGCTCGAGGAACAAAAAGAACTCCCACAGGGTTCTGCACAAGTCACGCACACATGGAGATTACTTGCACGAAAGCTTCCACACATAGTGTTCTAAACATCGGGCTCCATGCGGACATAGGATTCCACAGGCGCCCAGCATAATCGATGCCGTCGGATGTTCTGTAGCGGTGTTCAACAGTTTCTGATCATGTTTGGTGGTGTTCAAAATTCGACTGATCGGTCGAATCCTGCGAAAGCGGAGTAGATCGCGATACAAAAAAAGCAGGACGGAGGCCACTGACAAGCAAGCGGGAATCTGAATGAAAACATACAACGCAAGGCCGCAGCACACCTACGATACCAAGCACGAGCCGATGCATGGAAAATGATGGCAGCTTTGATTCCAGAGCGCCGCAGGGCAGACAGAAAATCTAGTCTGCTTCTATCGAGGGCGACAACGCCTGCTCAGGTCCGCGTTTTGGCCTCCGATGCGGTAGCTTCTGCGGCATTCGGGCCGACGACATTGGAAGGGTAGCCGAATCAGGTCGACAGCCTTCGCCGCCACAGGCAGCCTCTGCTCCTCTTCCTCCTCCTCCTCCTCCTCCTCCTCCTCCTCCTCCTCCTCCTCCTCCTCCTCCCCCCCTCCCCTCCCTCCCTCCTCCTCCTCCTCCTCCCTCCTCCTCCTCCTCCTCCTCCCCCCTCCTTCCTCCCTCCTCCCTCCTCCTCTTCCTCCTCCTCCTCCTCCTCCTCCTCCTCATTTGCAAGAGGTTCACGGATTGAGGGCGGTTCCTTTCAAATGTGGCTCTCGCCTGCTGCTCCTCCTCCTCCTCCTCCTCCTCCTCCTCCTCCTCCTCCTCCTCCTCCTCCTCCTCCACTCCTTCTCCTTATACATAACTGCTCCATGTCGCACCCCGACGCCAGTTTTTAGGGCGGGCGGGGCGTTTCGCCTCACCACGTATGACTCTGAAGCTCAAACAGTGACAGCAGTTTCAAAGATGGAGGGCGGCGGGTCGTTTTCAAAATGTGGCTCTCGCCTTAGCGCCGTGCACTTTCGTTTTAAACATGTGCAAGAGTTGAAAGGATTGAGGGCGGGTTGACTTCAAAATGTGGCTCTGGCCTTACGCCGCGCACATTCGTTTTAATCACTTGCAAGAGTTTCAAGGATTGAGGGCGGGTTGGCTTCAAAATGTGGCTCTCGCCTTATCGCCGCGCACATTCGTTTGAATCATTTGCAAGAGTTTCACGGATTGAGGGCGGTTCCTTTCAAAATGTGGCTCTCGCCTGCTCCTCCTCCTCCTCCTCCTCCTCCTCCTCCACTTCCTCCTCCTCCTCCTCCTCCTCCTCCTCCTCCTCCTCCTCCTCCTCCCCCTCCTCCTCCTCCGCCACATCCTCCTCCTCCTCGGCAGCCCCTAGCCCTGATGATTCGGGAAGGTTGGACGCCCGAATCATCCCGGACAACTGCGGTCAGGGGCAGCTCCGGCTTGGGCCCCCGAGGCGCGAACCTGCAGCTACCCCTGACCGCCCCCCGCCTGGATGAGTCGAGGCTCCGATTGGCGATCTTTCCTCCCGCGGCCACCCGCGGCGTCGACGGGCCCCTGTCGGCAGCGGCAGCCGGCGCGAATCGCGGCGCCGCGGGGGCGGGGGGCGGCTCAGGCGCGGCTGCGCCCGCCGCGGCGGCCCCGCACCTCGCTCGGGGGGCGGAGAAGGGGACGCTGGTGGTTCCTCCCGGGACCCCCTCCTCCCTCTGCCCTCCTCCCTCCCTCCTCCCCCCTCGCCCCTCCTCCCTCCCTGCCCCCTCGCCCGTCTCTCCCCCCCACCCTCCTTCCTCCCCCCCTCCTCCCTCCTCCTCCTCCTCCTCCCTCCTCCCTCCCTCCCCCTTCCCCCCCCCCTTCGCCCCCCTCCCTCCTCCCTCCCTCCCCCCTTGCCCATCCTCCCTCCTCCCTCCTCCCCCCCTCCTGTCCAGCGGCCTGGCACATGACTGGAGCACACAGGAGGCCAGCCGTGCCGGCTGGCGGTCCAAGGCGCGCTTCGCACCAGGGGCGTGCTCAAAGGGTTGTTTGTCTCAAAGCCTGGGCTTGAGACGAAGGGACGAGGATGCAATCGGGTGAGGACAAATCGAGGATCTCTGACATGTCATCGTTTTCTTATTCGGCGTCTCGACATTGGGCGGAAAGGGGGGAGGGGGGGTCTGGCTCCGGACGTCTGCTTAGCGCGACTGCTTGCAACAGTGCGTCCTGTGTGGGGAGAGACCCCACCTGCTCGAAGCAGGGGGCGGATCTACCCCGTGGAGGAGGGGGACGGGGGGGGGGGGCGAGGGCCCGCGCCGATCCGCACCACAACGAATAAGAAAACGATCGCGATCTGGCGGTTTTCGAGGATGTCAAGGGCGCCGCGGCCTTCGCGGGCCGTTCGGACGCTCTGGAGCGGACGTATTCTCGTCCTATAGCCCCGTCCAATGGGTGGTGGGCGACAAACCGCCCGGCGGCGGGCGGCAAGGCACGCACACCCAACAGAAACAGCGACAGACGTGGAGCAGGAGAGAACACGCACATCACACCCGACGGCTTGCAGTGCGAATCGCATCGCGATGCAACTAACACATTGCGAGACGAAGTCGTCACAGGGAGGATGGAGAAGGAGGAGGAGGACGACGACGACGAGAAGGAGGAGGAGGAGGAGGAGGAGGAGGAGGAGGAGGAGGAGGAGAGAGATGAAGCAGTCAGGAAAGAGGAGGAGGAGGAGGAGGAGGAGGAGGAGGAGGAGGAACGAGGGGGGAAGCAGCAGAGGAGGAGGAGGAAGGGGAACAAGGAGGAAGCAGGAGGAGGAGGACGGAGGACGGAGGAGGAGGAGGAAGAGGAGGAGGAGGAGGAGAAGGAGGAGGAGGAAGAGGGAGAGGGAGAGGAGACAGGAAAGAGGAGAAAGCAGAGAGGACGAGGAGGAGGAGGAGGAGCAGGAGGAGGAGAAGGGAGGAGGAGAGAGGGACGACGGAGCAGGACGAACACCGGAGTGCCTGGGCGCTGGGCGCGCGGCCGGGGGGCGCGAGCCACCCCACCCACCCGCGCCCTTCTCGCGAGGAGCGCACACGCCCGCAGGAGGCAAGGCGCGGGGCAGCAGCAACACTTACCAGCATCGAACTTATTCCTATCCCTAAGATTGACACGCACGCCAAAAGGCGATGACAATCTTAGGGACGCGCCCTCAAAAAATAAAGGACCCCATAAGATTGGCATCGTGATGGGGAGATGCCCAGCATAGGGATAGGGATATGCTCCAGGCTCGTAAAACACTCAAACCCATCAAGCCGTCAGAGGTCCATTCTGGAGACCACATTGGCTCGGACTTGGGCCCTCAGAGCCTTCCTTGTCGAAGCCCTTGCCGTCATGTCGCCTTCAGGGAGACCGCGCTGCTACACCGAAAGCAAAGGAGCGGGGGAGGATGAGGCCCCACTTCGGGCGAGGAGCTGGGGCAGAACAAAACGAGTCGAGACAGCGACGCAGGAAAGAGGAGGAGAACCCCAAGGGTCCGCGAATGCCACTCGGAGGTCATTGTCGGACAAGTCGGCGAGGAAGGCTTGGTAGCCATTTGCCGTGGCCCTTGTCTTTCCGTTTGATGACCCTCTGGACGCGGCGCGTGGGCTTGTGGTTGCTAAAGCGTCGCCATCGTGCTTTCGCGCGCTCGCACGCCCAAAACAAGTACACGCCGCGCTT